TGACCAGAAGACTTTCAATATTTCAGTACTCACCTAGTTTGTTGCACTCATTTTGTTTCTCAAGATTTCTCTTTCCCCCAGGATAAGAATTGTAGCTTGTATTGGTTGACAAAGCAAATGGGTACTTACGGGTTAAAGAAGAGGAACCATTCACCAACTGCATTATTGGATTGTCCTTACTATAGTTGGAATATTTTAATTATTTCAATTCTAATAGTCTTCACAATATGCTGCTTTTTATGAGTCTGGATTCATATATTCAATTCAAAATATAAGTAAAGCCACATATTTATCTTTTCTGTATTCTTTATACTTTTATCTTTTGCATGCCCCTTGGAAGAAAATTATTCAAAAACCAAATATTTACTGATACAATGAAGTGGAGCTCGAACTGGGCATAATTTACTATACTTTGAGATCTTCAGGACAGAGGGTCATAGATTCACTGACAGCCTATAGTTCTGGTTGGGCAGATCCAAAGGTATTATATCCAAAGGATTTTGATTACAGATAATCAAAGAATCAAATTTTGCACCAGGGAAGCCCAAGTTTCCAGAGTGAACACTAAATCTTTGTCACCTCCCACCCCACCTTGTTATAGATAGTACTGAAGAGATATTCCCTCTCATAAACATTTCAGCTCATAAACATCTATGTCATAGAGCCATCTTCCACAGCAACACGTGTACAGATGCTTTGGTTCTGGAAATCACTGCCAGCATGTCTACATAGATGAAAATAATAATAATAATAATAATAATAATAATAATAATAATAATAATAAAACTCTAGGAAGTTGAGTGGTTTCTAGAAAGCCACTAAATATACATTTTATAAGAAAAAAAAAACTTATGAGAAAACCTTAAGGATCAAGACCTTGAAGTAAGTAGATCATCATACCTGCCTCAGTTCAGCCAAGGCTACTGACATGTCTCTTGAATCAGAGTAGAAGGGGCAGGGGCACAGAAGGATGCAGCTGCTTTTGAGGTGTGCAGCTCAAAGTCAAGGCCCCAGTAGCAAAGCTTCTCTCTGACCGCCTCCTGTATCACTCTCTTTCACCTCTTCTTATCCCCCAAGCAAGGAATACAGACTAGAATGCCCTCAAGGTGGATCACAGAAAACAGAAACCATTTTCCCCAAAGCCAGCTATCAAACCTAAAAACAATATTCTAACTTCCCCCACATTTTTTTTGTGTGTAAAAATTGACATAAAGAAGTTTTCTGACCAATGTTGTTTTGAGAAGTCATCAGCTCCCCATTTCAGAAACTGTCCTGCTTCATACCAAAGAGGAAGAAATGCTACATCTGAGGGACCAAGAAGAACCTGAAAGCAAGCCTTACGGAACTTCCCTCCCACAGTCTGGTACTATTGGTTCATACCTTCTTGTCCAATCATATTTCTACCTGTCTGCCCACTTGTCACTAAACCTAAGCATAAAAAATTCAGAGTTCACCCTGGGTCTTTAGATTGTCAATCTGAAGTCTCCCAAGCCATGCAAAATATGATCAAATAAATGCAATGTGCTTTTCTCTTGCTAACCTGTCTTTGACTATTGGGTGTTTTCCCACAATCTTAATGATGGGAAGGAAATGGGCAGCCCCCTTTTCTACCCCTCCAGAAGCATGGTTTGAATGTCAATATTGAAGCTATGTGCCCCAAAATATTGAATCCACCATGTATAATTTTACTTATATTACTTTGACTCTTGAAGCCTTTTCTATCCTAAATATTTTATTTAAATTTTCTCTGAAAGGGATTTCCCCTAAGACCATTATTTGGAAAGGATCAATGCACAAACTTTTGGAAGAGTGAAGCCCAGACATGGGAATATGTGTGGTGGGACTCTCAGTGGGAAAGATGAAATCAGTGAGAAGGGAGGTAGAAAGTCACCAAACCCCCAATTTATCCTGGGACTGCTTGAGAAAAATCTGCCATTCTCTTGAGTGTTCATATGTTGTTTTTTAACTTTGATGTAAAATTTTCTCCTCATCGTTTCTCCTCCTCACCTGTAACATGAATATGGGACTTTTCATTCTATTATGCATAGATCAGAGCTAGAGGAATATATTGTGTTATATGTTTGTCTTTAGGAGAAATGAAATTTCCTTTCAGTAATTCTGGTTTGCTTTGAGTAGCTTAATATCCTATTTCTTCTTTTTAGTGATTTCTTGCTGTTGCGTTAGATGAAAAGCTTTGTGGGATTCATGGTCCACAGTAAGTAGTCAATAAGTATCCTACCTGGGCTCAGAAGATATTTTTAATCTTTTATTATGAAATTGACATGCAATAAAACATATATGTAGGTTTAACAAATAATTAGAATATGTACACATATGTGTTTCCAATAGGATCAACAGATTGCATATCACTGATGCCCCAGAAACCCAGCCTGACCACAAAGCACATGTTCCTCACAAACGTAATTGCTACTGATTTTCTTCCCCTTTTTCTATGTGTCCGTAAACCATTTAGTTTTGCCTCTTCCTGTGAGCTACAAATAGAATCACACTGTGCACACAATCTTACCCTCCAAGTTGTCACATACGGCTACAGAGTCTCCATGGTCATTACTGTATGATATTCCAGTGTACGTAGCAGAATTCAATCCATTCTCCTGCTGATAGCTGTTTGAGTATACTCTAAGTTCTGGCCATCATGCCATGTGTGCTGTCTATGCCTCTCATGTCTGAGTTCATGAATTTCTTTAGTATAGAGAGATACCGATTACTGGAAATGCTGTCATATAGGGAATGCAGACTTGAACTTTACTTGATAATGGGAAAGTGGCTTTGCCAAAGTGGTTGTTCTAGTATATTATCCCACTACTAATATATAAGAGTTCCTGTTGTTCCACATCCTCACCAATATTCAATATTTGCAGATTTCTGATTTTTTTTAACCAATCTGGTATTTGGGACACAGGGATACTTCTTTGTACTTTTAAAATTTTTTTTCTTTGTGATTTAAATTTCCAGAATGCTGAGTACTAGTAGGGTTGGAAAGCATTTTGTAGGTTTATTGACCTGAGTCCAGGGTCTGTAAAATGTGAATATCAATTCTGGTACTCTGAACTTTGGTATTTGGACAGGAATCATTCTGAACATTTTGTGTCATGATGGTAAGTTCAGGGAATGCAGAGGACACCCATTCATTAAATATCCATTTGGAGCTGAGTACCTCATGCACTTTGTCCTACTGAAGCCTCCTAATAACCATCAGATGGATGCTGTTTCCAAATTTTGCAAATAAGGAAATTGAGACTTAGAGGTTAAGAAAGTTACCCCAAAACAAACATACTGCTTTTGGAAGTATAGCTCAGTGTGAAAACTCAAACCATGCCTTGGTGCCTCCAAAGCCTGAGCTCTTTTCAGTAATCACGTTTCTTCACAAGAAATAACCCATACAGGAGAAAAATGATGCTTGATATTCTTTGGTAAAGTCATTGTATTAAAAACTATATCAAAAGAAGTTCAAAGGTAGCCCGATTAATATAACTAATTAAATAACCAAATCCCTAGGTCCATTTTTCTTTCAACACTTTAAAATCCAAATCACAAATATTTAAACAAATGAAAGGGTCTTTGATATGTGGTGGGATTTCCCTTATGAGAGTAATTCATAGAACATTTTAGTCACATGTTTCATTTTCAGCCTGTGACAAGCACTTGTGAAATGATTAACACCATACTGTGGAGTTGTAGAACATTAAATGACAGCCAGAAATAAAAGTAAGAAAAAATGAGAGTGGGACAAACTATTCTCTGAGAGACACATTTTATATAGGTAATCAATTTATTAGGACACTCAACAAATTCAAGCAATAGACACTTTTAAAAAATTAATTTAAAACCAATTAAAGGATAAACATCAAGCAAGGCTCCTAAGGATTTATGTGTTATTAATGGTGCTTTTCCCCCCGACTATAAAGGTCTAATAAAAAGCCTGTAAATCCTGTAGATACAGAAACAATTTTCAAAGAATCAAATTAACCAGAAGCAATGACTCAGGTATGATATTGCCCACAAAAAGGGATGGACCAAGGAAGCTCGCAACATCTCTCACAGGATGCTAAGAATAACTCTCAAGAGGGGCAGCCTCCTGTGTGCCCCTCTCCTCTCTAGTATCTTTACAAAATGACCTTTCAAAGGATCTGATCCAAAACCTCTCCCCAGAGGAATATATACACACCGGTGGCCTGCTTCTTTGTCACCAACATCAAACAGGCTTAGACTTTGCATCTATGGTTATTAGCCTCACATTTATCCCACTCCACAGCAATGAACAGTGAAAACAATTTTATTAACCACTTCTCTATGCCTCACACATTTTTTGATGTTCATTACTCTACCGTATTTCATGAGACAAATGTTTGCTGGCAAAATTGCTAGCATAGCGTGTACTTTCTAGTTGTCAATACGCAGCCATCCTCTCCTGTGCCACCAGTTGACTACAAAGATTTAAAGGTTCAGTGATTATAGGATTTAAATGATTTTAACCCCTTTAAATTTGGAAACTCTTTAAATCCCATTATCTCTGCAGCCACTGAGAAATTTGAAATTAGCTTGGCCTTTCCTAGCTCCAGGTCTAAGGATTACAGAGTTTTAAAGAGTACAAATGCTTTTCTGAAGTTCTATAAAGAGCTGTCCCCAACCAGTGGACCCAGAGGAAATAAAGCCAGCCAGTTCTCCAGCTGGTAAGTGCTGATCAGAGTTTCTAAATGGAAAGACCTATATGTTATGCCACAAACCACCAGGAAAACAGGTAACTGCTTCCTCGACTCCATATGAAGCCACTGAATTGGAAGATCTGATGTAGGAGGGGGGTAGGTTTTTAGACATGTGTCAGAAGTGTCTAAGAATGAGAAAAAAAGATATCAAGGACCCAAACAAGCTCTCTGGGACAGAGAGGGTAATTCAGTGAGTTGGAAGCCATCTTGCTCCTGAAGAAAAGCTGTTACCATGGATACCCATGGAATCCTAGGTAACCTCTGGGGTCTTACCTCTTGTGTCCGCACATTTATGTATCCATAGTGAGTTCGAAGGGGCCGCCTGTATGTGTAGGAGAACGGTATCCATTTTGTACCAGGTTGTCCAAAGCAGTTTAGTAGCAATGAGAAATTCACTTCATTTACAAGGCGCACAACCAGCAGGAAGAGGAATGCAGCTATGAAGCTCACCGCAATCACAGACTTTCTCTACAAAACATAAAAAAAAAAAGACTTTCAACTAAAAGCAGTCACAGAGGGAGATTCCTTTCTCTTTTTCTTTCATAAGGAAAAAAGGATTCTGTCACTTAGAATATTTCACTTCGAGACTGAAAATAATGACTTAGTGACCAGGTCGCCTTTGTGTGCTGGGCCTCTGAGATCAAGCAGAGAGGTTTTCTTGTACTCCTCCCTTCTGTCTCTTCTCCTCTTTACTTTCCTATCTTCCTTGCACACTCCAATTCAGTTTGAAAAACCCAAATCAGAAATTTCCACCTGCAGGCAGCCTTTCCTAATGGCTCAATCCCTCCCACCAACATTCTTTGACACCCCACCTCCCCACCAATAGAGGAAGAAGGCCTGTCACTCCCTTGCTTTCCTTGAAAGGCAATATGTTGTACTATTTTCACTGCACAACACTGTGTGTTTATGGAATCCTCCTTCCACAGGATTGTGAGCTCCTGTAGAACTGGGTTGTACTCTGTGTTATAACTCCCTATATCCCAGGATCTTAATGCAGGACCTCAATGCTATAGGCATTCAACAAATACCTGAGTGAAATGAAGGAATGAATGCATTTTTTTCCCATTCTTGTAGACAGTCTCATTATGGCTCACCCTTCTGCTTTTGTATCTAGAATCCTTTGTGTGCAGGAAATTGAAAGGCAAGTGACTCACCCAAGATAGAGATTCAACCAAGAGATTTTATTGGGGGACTGCCCGGAGGGGAAGAAAAGGAGAGGCAGAGAGTAGAGAGAAGAGAGGAGGAGGACAGAGAGGGAGAGAAAGAGAGCAGAGAGAGGAGGGAAAGAAGAGGAAGAGGGAAAAGCGGAAGAGAGGAAGAGGGTAGAGAGCGTGAGCTTGCAATCTTCGGCTTAAGAAAGGTTGCATAGGTGACATGGCACGTGCTGATTGGCAGGGTGACTCGGGAACAGCCAGTAGACACTGTGTCTTACAGGGATTGGTCGAGAAAACTTTTGAATTTGGCGCTCTTCGGCTTGGCGCCCTTTGGAGAGGAGGGGAAGGGGTAAGGGATTCCGTGATGTTCTCCCGAGATGGAAATAACTTCAGCGGGGAGTCTCCCACACACCCAACAGAAATGACCTGTGCTAAATAAAGCATGTGCAAAAGTAAAAATCAAAATGATAACCACAAAGGGAGGAAACATTTCAGACCAGGCAGCATAAGAACATTCTGCTCAATGTTCTGCAATGGAATAAAAGCTAGAGCAAATGCATTTATCAGGTGGGAGAAAGCAGAGATGTATTTAAGATTGATCTTAATAAAAGGCATGAGTTTAAACTGGTAGGGATGTGTGGGCACCTAGGTAAAAGAAACAGAACAGACTAGAAAACATGGGATAATTCATAGGCCCAGAGCAGTCTGTCTTAACTGTACAGCACAAAGGAGAAAAGGCTAGAGATATAAATGAAAACCTTATGGTAGACTGCTATCAGACACCAAGCTAAGAAGCCTGTGCTGAGTTTGCTAGGAAATGAAAAGCCAAAGTAGATTTTTGTTGTTGTTGTTGTCTATTTATTTAATTTTGCTAATGGTAACACTTATAATCAAACATCAGTGTTTAAGATGCTTTGGAGCAGGGAGAGAATAAAGGTACAGAGTGACTAATTAGGAGGTTGTTCTCTTTGGTCAGGGCAGAGGTAAGGAGGGATGGAAACTAGGACAGAGGCAGAGGAAATAAAAGGTGAAAAAAGACGTGAAAGACTCAATTTAGATAGAAGGAATAGAACCTGATCGTGGATGAGAAACACATGGCAGACCCAAAACTCATACACGACGGAGACTTTGAGCCTAAGGGATTGCAACAAATAAAAACCAGTCATATCAGGAGACACCAGAGTGCCCAGAGCAGGAATTTATCCATGACCTTGGCTTTCTTGTTGCTGATTTTCAGGGTCTGGTAGATCATCCTCATGAAATTGTCACAGAGTCAGGGGGAAGGTCAATGCTAGAGCAAGAAGAAAGATGAGCTGAGGTTGGACCTCAAGAACAACTCTGCTACAAGGGCAGGGCAAAGACAGCGAAACGTTCCCTCGTGAAATTGGACTTGGCCTCTCATTTCTCTTCAAACTTAAGGAAAGCCAATAATTTTCTGAGAATTACTGAGTATTTGTTGTTGTGATTGTGTGTTGAATTTACCACTTCTTGGTATAATTAACTTCATTTTTTTTCCTCATAAAATCTCCCAAGGAAGTAAAGAAACTCAAAGATGGTCCCTGTGTCTGCTGAGGGCCCAGCTGCTATCTGTACAGCAAAACCCGAGGTCAGAGACACCCAAAGAAAGTCTTCATTCTTTCTTGGCTTTTGTAATTTGTAAAACCTACATTCCTCCGTCTAGCCAGCCTAATTTTCTAATCACCTGAAAGTCCCTTGAGCTCTGCCTCCTCAAAACCCCTTATCTCACCACTAACTACCACAGCCTTACCTCATTTAACCTTCTAATCATGAAAAACCGTTTTAATTTGCTCCTCTGTGGAATCATTATGTCCACAACATTGCAATGTGTCAAGGTAACAGCTTAAATGAGGTGATGGATTTTACAAGTTTAAAGGGACATAGACCAGAACAGATGGCTAAATAAAAGCAAAGAGGCCAGTCACCCATTAAGTAAACAGGTAAGAACCTTTTTTTCTTTTCTTTTTTTTTTTTTTTTTAATCACCATCCAGTAGCTTGTTACAAAACAGAGCTTGCTTTGAAGGAGACCCAGATGGGATCTGTGCTTTTGTCTACTGCAGAGCCCAGCATGGGTCTCTGGTTCTCTTAGTTACTGTATTGCATTGCATGAGTAGGGGGTTTGGGGACAAAGGCGTGCCTTTCTGAATCTGCTGATGGTGAGTACTAACACATACATAATGCATACATGAGAAGAAAATAAATCAACCATTTTGAGAGAAACTTCAAAATGGAATGAAATCACAGTGGTAAAAGCCTGCTCCCTGGCAATCCATGTCCTCCTCCTGTGTTCTATCAAAGGGAACTAAGTAATGAGCATGAAGAAGGTGGGGGAGCAGCTGAGTAAGACTTAGGCACGGGTCCCTCTGTGCTCCCCTTGGAATGGCATTCTGCAGTGGGCAGAGCTGTTCCCAGCTCAGACCTCCAGCCCAGACCCTCTTGTGTTGCCTGGACCTTATTATTCGCCTTTCTTCATGTTTCTATATCTCTGTGTAACCTGAAAGCGTTGTCATAGTGCTGCCACAAAACCACCCTGAAACTCCACTAGAAAAGGTGGAACTTGAAGCACATTCTATGCTCCAGATGACAAGGACAACAGAACCTAACCCAAGGTTTTATTCTCCTAGTAGTCACTTCTGCTTGATCATGACCTTGAGCTTCAGCTACTACAGTGAAAATCATGGATGAGGCACTTTGAAGTCTATTCATAGCTAAATGCAGAGAGAGAGAGAGAGAGAGAGAGAGAGAGAGAGAGAGAGTGTGTGTGTGTGTGTGTGTGTGTGTCTGTTAGGGATGCAGGAGATGGGGAAGTAAACGAAGTACTAATACTAACATTATCTACATGAATGTATTCATACCTTCAAGTCACAATTGTTCATTGGGTCCAGAAATTATAATAGAAAGTCCATGCTTCCCAAGAGTCATTTAGTGACTTTTAGTGACTCATGTGTCACATGAGGTACCAGGAGGTATGCATGGGATACTGGGATCTCCAGGGAAGTGTTGTGGGAGGGACAACACTTCTTGAAATGATTGCCTGAATAGAGTGTGTATTAGGATGGGGGAGGATTAGCAGTGTGAAGACAGGAGGAGCATTCTAGGCAGAGATAACAGTGGTTTGAAAGTCCATAATTTGATCAAAATCCTTCAAGTCAGCCAGGTGTGGTAGTGCATGGCTGTAATCCCAGCAGCTTGGGAGCCTGAGGCATGAAGACTACAAGTTCAAAGCCAGCCTCAACAACATATCAAGGCCCTAGGACACCTACAGAGACCCTGTCTCAAAATAAAACATACAAAGGGCTGGAGATGTGGCTCAGTAGTTAAATGCCCCTGGTTCCTGGGTTCAATCCCTAGTACAAAAAAAAAGAAAATGAAAGAAACCTCCAAGTCATTTGGTAAGAAGGCTACAAAGATTCCATGTGGCAAGAGAAGATACAAAATAGAGATCAAATAATAAAACAAAAACCAATCAGCCAAATATATTAAATGGGATGCGTTTATCTAGCCTACCTACTTTATATTCAGATAATGAGAGGATGAATGCATGAAAGTGCTATGTTTCATAATTCTAAAATATCTTCCATTTTCCAGTCAAGAAAAAATGCACCAGATCAACACACCATAAAGTCCTGTTTCCAGTTGTTTGACTTATTCCATCAATAAATGTACATCATCAGCAGCTCGTTCTAGTAACAGTTATGAGTCCATACCTGCTCAGAAGATTGGAAGCCTCCACCTATTTAGACCTGTGCACTGTGTCTAACCATTTGTTTATTGATGTGATCAGTATTGCCTTTATTGAAGTCATCAGAACATCCTTCAGATTCAACTGCCACCAGTTAGGTTAAGCAAAAAACAGTAAGTATCTGTCAGCTTATAAAGGATCAGACTTGGTTTAACAAATTTTCCATACTGCAAAAAGCAGACATAAACTTAATAAGTGGCCATTCCTGTGAGATCAGAAGCATGGACATTAAATAATACACAGAGTAGAAAGCACAGAGCACATTTGAAGGGCAAAGTCAGCACTCAAGAAATGCAAGATGTTATCACAATACAATTGTTAATTGTTAGATCCTTGATGGGTAGTAGCCAGTTGGCAAATGCTGCCTTGTGAACCCCATGATAAAAACTAGAGGAATCTCTTTCTCAAATATTCCAAGCAGCTGCAAACCCTTGAACTATTCAGTGCAATGTATCCATACAAGCTCCAGGAGAATGTCACTATGCCTAAATAGATCTTATGAATAGCTTTAGGGAAAGCTTTCTCCTTTTCTATTCTTCATTTTGCACAAATC